GTTACTGTGCCAGTGCACATGCTGTCCCCAGGTCCCAGGTGGCTGAATTTTTTTCCGTGCAGCCTGTGAGGGATGAATGATAGACCCTGGTCATGGTGACCTTTTCGAAGCCCATTAAGTGTCTATAAATGGCAAGGATTGGCACAGCAGCAGGGACACAGATATTAACACAGGCCTCTAAAGTTCTGGCCACTCCTCTGCTGCCTTTAGCAGATCTGAACAACACCTGCAGAAGATTTCATTCTTGAACAGAGTGTAAATCATCTTCAGCTGTGAATCCCTCTGTTGCCCTGTTTTCAGGTGGGTCTGCTGGGGCGAAGTTACAGAAGAGAAAAACATCCATTTGCTATCTATCCTCCCCACTGCGGTTCTAGAGACTGAACCCAGCCCCTCCCCCCCCCCAACACACTAGGTAAAGGCTCTACCCCTGAGTTACATACACCCCAGACACCAAACTGGTTTTTTTTGGGGGGGGGTGTTTGTTCATTTTAGATTCATTCGATCAATACTTCTCAACCACTGGAATGCCCAGTGTCTCTCTAGGAAGCAGTTCAAATCCATATTCGTGCCCTGGGAACTGTTCTCACCTGACTAAGCCATGCTAGATCCTCCTTCCCTTGTGCTTCATGGTCTGTTCTCTTTGCCTCCTGTCTTTCCCTGTCTGCTGCTGAAGGAATTCTGGCTCTGAGGACCTGGTAGTGATGCTCTCCTAAGTCCCCCCAGGCAAGGGATGCTGCTCCTGTTCCCAGAACTGTTGTTGCAACATGGACTGTCCCGCCCTGGGCAAGGCTTGCTGCACTGTTATTAGTCCTTTCCCATGCCCCCCAGCTTGATAGTCTTTGTTACATTCTTACATCATCTTTCTTCCTCTCTTCTGCCCTCTCTCAAAGATTATGAAATAACTAGGCTATTGTTACAACCCCAAAAGACATTTTACTCAGTTTATACACAGTTGCCTTCCTGTCCTTTACATCTGGCCAAGAGAAGGATAAACCATGCAGTAATCAGGGTGAGAAATTTGCATGCTAAGCCCTAGCTGGCATGGGCCTGTTTTCCTTTGCATCTGGAGACTGAAGCAGGTTATTTTAGACGACTCTGCCCCCCAAGAAAATTTAATACTGCTCCCTTATATCGAAGTGGTGCATTTGACCACTTCTGGGGACCTTTGACCCCAGAACTTAGGAGGCATAGGCATAGGCATAGGCATAGGCATAGGCAGAGGCAGAGGCAGAGGCAGAGGCAGGAAGATCTCTGGGAGTTAGAGGCCAGCCTGGTTTACAGAGTGAGTTCCAGGACAGCCAGCCAGAGCTACAAAGTGACACCCTGTCTTGAAATCAGAGTGGGGGTGGGGGTGGGGGTGGGTGAGGGCAGTGGGAGCTTTGACAAGCTAGTGTCTTACATAGAGAGTGGGAAGGTGGGAGATTTATTTTAGAAAAAGGATGTAACAAGAGCAGTGTTTGCATTTATTATTAGTGTCTCCCTTTATCATAAAGCTTCATCCAATACAACACTGGCATATTATTATTATTATTATTACTATTATATTATTGCCAAGTGTTTTGTGTTTCCAATGCAAAAGACCTGTAACTGAGAGTAGACTAATACTGTTTACCCACTGAAGTGTCAGTCTGGTTGCTTTTATTTATTTATTTTTTTCTATAACCTTAACCAGGATGCACTCGGCTTATCTGTTTTACGGTAGTTATAGAGTTGGCTACTATCTTTAATATGTTTGCATGTGGGAAGCAGGGTGTGGGAGGAGAGGGAAGGGGATGAACTATTCCAAAAGTTCAAATTCAGTGTTTAATTCTAAACTTATTTCTTGTTTAATGTGCCCAGAAAAGGGATTTAGACCAATGATTTTCAATCCCAATTCTATTTGCATATCAGATAGGGTCTGATGAACAAAATTAGGGAGATAGTGAGAAACACCAACTAATTAAGTCAGGAACACTAACTAAGTTAAGCCAGGATCTCTAATTAGGAAATCCTTGACTTGCTGAACTACCCAGCAGGGCAAATGAAGTGTTCCATTTAGGTAAAAAGCTTAACAGGCTTCAATAAACCGAATAAAGCAAATTGTACATTGTGAAATATTTAAAATTATCTAAAACTGGCATATCCTGTTCATCCTGGACATTCATATTACCTCTTATTTAAGAAGCTGACTTAAATACCATTTTGTTTAATGAGCTTTTTGGCATTCTTTAAACTTAGACACGCACCCCTATCGTTTTTTTTTTTTTTTTTTTTTTTAGCACTGCTTCCTAAACACACATTCTGAAGATAAAGTCTCATTTGCCATTACCTTTTACTCCGTGTCCCGAAAAGAAGTTCTTAAATTATTATTATTTTTAAGTGTCAATGATCTTAGGACCATAAGTGTTCCCAAAGCTGCATTTTTAGCACCATCTGTACACGTTATCCCATGCCACAGGACCGTTTCCGAAGAATATTAGTAAACTGGGGAGGGGCATGACTGCACGCTTCGACTCTGGAAAGAGATCCGCCTGAATGCCAGTAAAACTCCTGTGAACTCTTTTTCTCTTTTTCGCACGTGCGGGTGGGGTAAGGGGGGCGTGTTGCACTGCTCTTGATTAGCGTTTCTCTATCTGCCTCTTGCCTCATCTTTAAACCACAGGGAATGATAACCCTTTTCCACACAGGAAAAAGTGAACGGGATGTAGTTTGTACATTTTGGTCTCCACTTATCAGCGTCTCCAGATAAACACTCAGCTTTTCACGATCCCTAGGAACAGCCGGACTTGCCTTGGCACACGGGTGAGGGTGGAGGTTTTCTTTTTCCATTCACCCAGCCCGGAGCTGCTGGACCAGCCCCTTCCCGGGCGCAGGCTGGAAGTTCCCGCTGCGCGGCGCCCTGGGCCTGGCGCTCTCCGTCCGGGCCCTCCCAGGTTCTCAGTCCCCTTGGTTCAGGGCTGTCCCCTGCCCGCCGCCTTCCCCGGTCCCGATCCCGGGCGGAGGGAATTCTTCCCCAGCAGCCTAGGGCTCGCCTCACGTGACCAGCAGCCGCCACCGCGGCTTCCAGGGAGAGTTTAAAGGTTACGGAGGAAATTAGCATGGATACAACTACCCGCCCCCAGGAGAGCGCAGCCGGCTTTCCCGCAGCCCGGACGCCCGCTGTCAGCTCGTGGATCCGAGCCTCATCTCCTCCCCCCCCCCCTTAAGGGACACACCAGAGGTCCCGCATGTGTAGGAGGAGTCACTTTGAGAGATAAACAGACACTCGAACCGAGCCGGGCCGGGGTTCTACCAGGCTTCCATTTGTCAACAAGTTCTCGCAGCCCGAGCAAGTCCGGGACAGATCCCCAGAGGGGAGAGTCTCCCCAAGGAAAAGAAAGAGGAAAATTAGGTTTCAAAACTCACACCCAGCAAAAAGAGCTCAACAGTCCGGCTGGCCCCTCCCCCATCGCGGTACAGAAGAGAATCCCGGGACAGAGTGACAACCAGGCCAGTTCTCTCGCGGGCGGCTGGTGACCGCCACGGTACAGGCAGGATCGGGAAAGGTGCTGACTTTTCTGGGACACTGAGACCCCTCCATTCCTCCAGTCCCGGCTCTAAAAGATAGTGTTGACCGCCGAGTGCGCGAGAGATGTGTTCCCCCACCTCCCACCCCCGCTCTCCGGGTGCAGACCCGGCTCTCCCAGTGCGGACCAGAGACGCAAAGACCTGGCCTGTGACGCTCGCCCCCGCATCCTAACGTCGCCACCCTCCCAGGGCCCTCACGGAGTCCTCCCTCAGCTCCCTCGCGCGCAGCCACCACCGGACCGGGCTAGACGGCTCGCTGATGTTTTCTGCTCAGCTCACTTTTCCCGTATTGCTCCCCCAACCGGCAAAACTTTCTATTTCCCCAAACACTGGTGCGCGCGCGCGCGCTCGTGCACACACACACACACACACACACACACACACACACACACACACACAGTCACTCACTCACACACACACACACACACACACACACACTGACGTCTTTGCGCATTTCCTGCATTAGTGGGAGGGAGAATCGCTCGCACAGCGATCGAGGGAAGGAGATCGCGGGCTGAGCGCTCTGGCGGGCGGAGAGCCGGCGGCAGCCGAGAGCGCGGACGCGGGGAGCGCGGCGGGCGGGCGGGCGGGCGGGCGCCGGCGGCCGGGAGGAGGGGCCGCGCTGAGTCGCAGTCCCTGCCCCGCCGCCGCGCTGCGCACCGCCGGGTGCCGGCCTGCGCCCCGAGCCCGAGTGGCGGCCACCTCTACCTCCCGAGCCCGCGCGGATGTGATATCCTGGGAGCCGGGCACCTCGCGATAGCCGGCTGCGGCGCTCCACTGCTTGGCCCTGGAGGCGGCGGCCGGGCTGGCTGTGAGGCTTGTGGATTTTTAAAAAAAATTGGCTCCGGGGAGGACTATTTCCTCTCGACATGCATCCCTCCGGATAGACTGCACATCCCTCAGTTCACCCTCCGCCCCGCGCCGTCCGAGACAGGCGCTGGGTGGGCGAAGAGGATCCGGGTTGAAATCTGCGCCCCCGGTTCTCGTCCCCGCCCCGTCCCGCCGCCCCCTCCCCCTCCGGGACTCGAAATTGCCAGGGGATTATGTTTCGGAAAGGTAGGTGAGCGCCGGGCGCGGCGCCTGCTTCTCCGCACCCGGACCCGGAGAACCAGCGAGGCGGCGAGTCAGCCCCCGCGGCTTGCGGCGGAGGCGACAGCTCGTCTCCTCCCGTGGAGGTGTCGCCGGTGGTGGTGGGGGGAGAGACTTGCTCCAAAAACGGACGTCTCCAGCTCTCCCCCCTCCCTGTTTTCCGTTAGGAATCCGGCGAGGAAATACATGCACTCGCTGAGAATCGCCGGCGCCAGGGCGCAGCGCCACAAGGTGTAGCGAGAGAGTGGGGTGGGGCGAGAGGGGACCCAGGAGTCCCCTAGGCTCCCAGCGTGCCTGCTGCCTGCTATTCATTCCTGCCCTCGGGGCGGACTGAGTGACCCCGGCTCCAGTTCCCTGTCCCGACCATGGTAGTGTTCAATGGCCTTCTTAAGATCAAAATCTGTGAGGCCGTGAGCTTGAAGCCCACAGCCTGGTCGCTGCGCCATGCGGTGGGACCCCGGCCACAGACTTTTCTTCTGGACCCCTACATTGCTCTCAACGTGGACGACTCGCGCATCGGCCAAACAGCCACCAAGCAGAAGACCAACAGCCCGGCCTGGCACGATGAGTTCGTCACCGATGTGTGCAATGGGCGCAAGATCGAGCTGGCTGTCTTTCACGATGCTCCTATAGGCTACGATGACTTCGTGGCCAACTGCACCATCCAGTTCGAGGAGCTGCTGCAGAATGGGAGCCGTCACTTCGAGGATTGGGTGAGTCCAACCCCTCCACGTCCAGTAGCCCGGGGTCCCAGGGAAAGACTTGCTGCTTCAGGATTGGATGTGTTTGTGCACATACCTCTCAATTTCCTTGAGAGGCACATTTCATTTCGTAGCTGGAAAGACATGCACATTAGGATAAGAAAGATGGGATTTAGCATGTGGGCGCTATCTCCTGTCTGCTCTGCGCCCTCCTGAAAATGGGCAGTACAAGGGGCTTGCAAGTTGGGAGAGCCCCAGAATGCAGGTACATAGCTTGGTGGAGGGGACCTGGTTGGTACCTTCTGCAAGAGCATGGTGGGCTGGGTAAGTGACTGTGTGTGGGTGGGTCTTTCAGTCCTTGGAGAGACACGTGGAGCTCAGACTGGAGGTTTCCTGTGCATCCTGGCGTTGTCCTGGGTAGCCCAGTGAGTAGTTTTATAGATCCCTCCGTTAGGAAGCCTTCTTGTTCCAAAATCACAGGTTAGTTCATCTGCTGACCTACAAGAAGGTGTGAGTCCCAGAAACATTAGGCCAGCTAGTTTTGCCCATCTGTTTAGAATGCTGTATTTAAAAAAAAAAAGTCTCTGTCTGTGGTTATAGGAAGTCAGGACTTGGAATCTGAAGATGACATGTGTCCATGCTTTGATTGCCAAGACACTAATTCTGAAATTATGTTCATTGTTAATTGATTTCACTGTCAAATATTAGGGATTTGGATTAAAAAGGTCTTGCTGATATACCTTAAACCGAATGCATTCAACCTTGGCACTTGGACAGTTAGAGAAACCAATCCTCCCCCACCCCCTCACTTCTCAGAGGAACAGTGTTAAATTGGGAAATAAATAGCTCTGTCTTCAGGTTTGTTACATGTTTCTATCTGGAGCAAGTGTTGCTATGGATGAATATATTTTCAAGATTCTTTGGTTTGCACAGAGAGCTGTCTGTGTTGCCTCATGAAGAGCTGTAGAAGAACCACTTTCTGCTGAGAACACAGATAACTTCATCAATATCTTAGGGGTCACAGGGTGCACATGTCCTTGGCATATCACTACATCATATTTTTTAAACATATTTTTCAAGGACAGAGAGTTTTAGGGGGAAACAAAACAAAACCCTGTTCTTTTAATACTCCTGGCTGTGATAGAGCCTTCCGGGAACCATGGTTACTGATGGGGCTTTTAGGGCAACCCTAGTAAGCCACATGAGCTGAGCGCTAGGACACTGTGGCTTCCACTTTAGACAGCAGGCAAACCCTAGGATCCTGAACTCTGCTTTCCTTCCCTTCTGGCCTGCTGTCATTTTACTGTTATCCACAGTGATGCCCAAAGGGCCATGGAGGGAACAGCTAACTTCAGAAACAGACTTGAGTGCTAAACATGTGTGGTTTTGCATAAAAAGGGGAAGAAAACTTTGACTTCAGTAGCAGGAAGGTGGGGCGTTCTTGCAGGAGGTGCTAAGAGCGGGTAAACAGTGGGCTGAGAGCAGTGATGGTGATGAGCAGGTCTGTGTGTTTCCACATGCAGCTCCAGTCTGAAGGCTGCATCTGAGTGTCCCTGGCAGCACTGAACTGGGGTCTACTCCAGATGCAGGGCAGAACAGGATGCTACCTTCTCTCCTCAGCTCTTCTAGGAAGTGTGCACTCAGCGCTCATTGCTTGATAGCCATTCTCCAAGGTTCTTCCATTTATGCTGGATTTGGCCCTAGATCAGATCTTCTAGTGCACAGGCAAAATTTCCAGACAAGGACATTGAGTTCCAGAGAGGCTAAGTGGGCACCCAAGGTCGCATGGCAAGCACAGGTGGGTTGGAGGTTGAGCCCTCACCTCCCATTGCTCACTGTTTGCCCAGTGGGGAACAGCCTGTCTGGCTTCCCAGGCTATTTATTAGCCCTGCAGATTCATATGCTGTGGCCCTGACATTTTTATTGTGTGCGATAACGTAAAGTGCTTTCAAAATCATTATCTCTTCTGCCTTGTAGCAAGTGTGAATTGAATATGACAGGCATTGGACAGATTAAAAACAAGACCGAGAACAGCCCAAAGAATGAATCTAGTGGCGGAGCTGGTTCTGACTGAGGGATGCTGTTGCTGCTCTCTGAAATGAATATGGGCTGTTGGCTGGCCTGGAATCAGAGACAAGTTGCAAAAGAGCCACCTTCCCTATGTCAGTCACCCAAGTACACCCACAGCATCACAGCTGCAGGTAGAATTTCCTGGGCTTAGACTTTGTGCTCTCTACTTGGAAGAGATGAACCTTTTTGTAGGTATGGCTCTGAAGCCTGGCTTGAAGTAATCAGATGTGCAGAACATGAAGGAGAGAATAAAGTCGCTGGTCATCTCTTTACTGTGGAATATCTCAGCCACCTATGTACTCACCTGTCTACTGGGTTGGTTCCCCTCGTGTGATCAAATTCTATAATGGAAACTTACCTTCCTAACTAACCCAGGAATAATAATTTAAAAAAAAAAAGAGGCCACAGGTTACTATCAAGGAGTTTGCATTTCTGTACAGAAAGGATACTTAGGTGGTAATTCAGTTCCAAATGAGTGGCACTAAAATAGGTTGGATGTTCAAATCGAGAGTGTGTTAGGAGGGCTGGGAGAATCCAGGAAGCCTTCTGGAAGGAGGTATGCACATTGAGTGTAAAAGTGTTGGGCATGTTCAAAGACATATCTGTGGAGGATACAATGTACCAATCATGTTCATTGCCAACAGAAAGGCATGGAGAGGCATGGACAGCTCCTATGCCCAGGGCTGTGGGGATAGATAAGTATGGCTAAGCTGAGGACAAGATAGAACCAAGTTTACACAATTTAAGACTTTTCATTTGGCTGCCACCTGAGCTATAATTTAATACCAAAAAAACCCCACACAAACAAAACAAAGAAACCAAACTGATTTTTACTTTGTACCAATCTTTTCTCAAGCCATACAGAACCACAGGTTTGGACTTGGTGTTTTCTTGGTTCACATCCAAATAAGTATAGATGTAAAATATAAAGGACGCTCATCCCAGTGCTCTTTAACACCATTAAGGATGGAACTCCAGAGTAGAAGAACATTTAGAGGACTAGGGTGGATTTTACAATGTGAAAAGTCCAGGCTGTAGGAACTGTCTTCCAGACAGGAAAGAAGAAAGACATTTCAGGTTATGACGACAGAGGGGGCTGCTGTAGACATAGTTTAAAGCAAAGCAAAGAACAGATTCAAACTATGCTTTTGACTACATGAAATGCTACTGATTTGGGTGTGCATAGGAGTGACTAGGGGAAGGTATCAGGAAGATAGGTACTCTGCCCTGCCCCCTCAGAGCTGTGGATTCTGTGGCTTGAGCTAATGGTGAGGAGTCTACATTTTTAGTGGCTGGTCCTTTGAGTTGCTTGCTTTGAGAACTATAGCTAGAATAAGAATTGTGGGCAGAGGAAGGGCTCCAGATTCTGTGGAGGCCAGAGGTTGGTGTCAAAATGTCTTTTTTTTTTTAATTGATGGCCACATTATTTTTCCTTTACTTATTTTTGTTTACTTAACATGCACACTATGCACACTTACGTGTGTGTGTGTGTGTGTGTGTGTGTGTGTGTGTGTGTGTGTGTGTGTAGAGGTCAGAGGACAAATTACAGGAGTATTTTTCTTCTTTCACCCTGTGGGTTCCAGGGTCCAAGCTTATAGTCAGGTTCAGCAGCAGGCACTTTTAGGGATTGAGTCATCTCATCAGCCCTCTAGTTTTTGAGACAAAGTCTCCTCACTAAATGGAAGTTTGTTTCCACTGATCTGGTTAGCCAGTGGGTTACTGGGATCCACCTGTCAGGCCTCATAGGCAGGGTGCTGGGGTTACAGACCCCTGAGGCAGCACCTGGCTTTTGAATGGGTCCTAGATTTGGGCAACAAGCCTGGTACTGGCTAAGTCATCTCCTAGTCCCAGATTTCTTAAAACAAGACTTGTAAGGATAACTGTGTCAGCTATACATATTGTGTATTCATGTTTGAGGCAGAGGTTGGATAAAGGAAAAGTGTGGTGGGTTTTGCTTAGGGGATGCAAGCTAGGGAGGAGGCTCTGAGGGCAGCCTATGGATGACAGCTGCTGGCCCCTTTACTCTCTGGGTTTTCTCACTTATAATATACAAACTGAGCTTGCCTCTCTCTTTGACCATTTGTACCGTGTTGGCAGACATCTTTAGTTTGGGCCACTCCCTTGATGTATCTTGTCACAGGCACACTTATTTATTTATTATGATCTATTTAGTGCTTTTAGAGACAGGGTTTCTCCGTGTAGCCCTGGCTGTCCTGGAACTCACTCTGTAGACCAGGCTAGCCTTGAACTCAGAGGTCCGCCTGCTTGTCTCTGTCTCCCGAGTCCTTGATACCTGGCACTGATGGATTTATAATTTACCATTCATGTCTGAAGGTCCTCACCCTTTGAGAGGGGGCAGTTCTTTCTCCAGACTATTTGTCCTGGTCTGCTTTCTGTCACTGGGATAAGCCACTCTGACCAAAACCAACTGGGAGAGGAAAGGATTTATTTTATTTTGTAGTGCATCAGCAAGGGAAGTCCCAGGTGGTAACCAAAGCTGAGACATGGAGGAACGCTGGCCACTTGCTTGCTTCCTCTGGTTCACACCCAGTTGACTTTCTCATGTAACTCAGGACCATCTGTCCAGGGGCAGTATCACTTGTAGTGGGCTACATCCTCCTGTTTCGATTAGCAGCCATGAAGATATACCACAGACACACCACAGGCCAATCTGATGGAGAGGAGGTTTTTTTTCTTCCCCAGTATGGCAAAGTGAAGCCTGAAACTCCCTGTGGCAGCTGTAGAGAGTCCTTGCTGGGGCTAGACTACTTGGGTTTTAAGGCCACCTTTCCCCTTGACCTAATTCTCCTGTGACCTTTAGCGAGCCATCTAACCTTTCTGAGATTTGGTTTCTTCCTCTGTAAAAAATGGATGATGGTGAAATCATCCGCCTGAAATGGTGGTTGTGGGGAAATTGAGTTTATACACACAGTGTGCTTGGA